ATCGTCATCATCATCATCCCCATCGTCGTCATCATAATCATCATCATGATCGTCATCATCATCATCGTCATCGTCACTATCATTATCATCGTCGTCGTCATCATCTCTGTTTTTAGTTGTGTAAATAAAGTTGAACACCATAACCAAAATGATGATGATATCTTGACGATGATATGATATGATGACGACGACGAAGATGACGATATCTTCAGCGATAACAACAATAATACTACTAACAATAATGAAGATGATGACGACGACGAAGATGATGAAGAAGTCGATAATGATAACGTTGTTAATGATGATATAATAGATGATGAGACCAACGAAACTAAAACTGCAAACAGCAATGATGACGATGATGATGATGATGACGATGACGATGTTGACAATAGCGGAATGAAGATGTTATTTTCAGCGCTGTTTCTTGTTTGGTAGCGGGCTTTCAAAGGGTTCTGGGCTGTTGATGATTTCGTTTCGAAATCGGAAAAATGATTGTTGTTGTTGTTGATGTTGTAGTAGTTGTAGTAGTAGTTGTTGTCGCTGCTGCTGCTGGTATTGTCGTGGCTGAAGATAATGTTGACATCGTTGTTGATGATGTTGCTGTTGTTGTTGCTGTTGATGTAGTTGCTTTTGACGTTGTTGTTGTTGTTGTTGATGTTGTTGATGATGTTGTTGTTGTTTTTATGCTTCAACAGCTTCCAACATTCGCTAGTATTGATAGTGTTTACTGCAGGTGCGTGCGTGTGGTGAATTACTGCTTGAATATTTTAAATGAAAAATGCCGAAAAACCGAAGAAAAATATGAATTACATTAATAATAACATCAATAAAAATGACAATAACAACAATATTACCAACAACAATAACAACAACAATGAAAACAACAGCAATAACAACAATAGATCTATTATTTTGAAGAAATTGAATTAGCAAATTGTGAAATATGAAGCTAAATTTTTGGACGAAACGAGACAAATGTAACGAGAATATTAAATAAAAATAATTATATCAATAATAATAATAATAATAATAATATAAATAATAATAATTACAATAATAATAGAAATAATTATAGTACTAATAAATAGAATAATAAAAGTCGAAAATTAATAATGAATGATTGAAAGCTAATAAGGGCTTTTAATCATTCGCACTTTTTAAAAACACCTCTCCTCTAAGTGTTCTTCTATTAAGAACTTATTTTTGAATTTTTGTGGAAGAAATTTTTGCGCCTTTTAAGAAATTCCATTTTTTTTATCTTTCATTCTTCGTCTCTCTCTCTCTCTTTCTCTCTTTCTTTTTTTCTTCTATTTTTCTTTTTTCCATTCTTTCCTTTCTTCTTTTTCTCTCTTTTTTTCTAACTTCTCTTGTTTCTTCATGTTGCTTCTTTTCTTTCTCCTACTTTCTCTCTTTCTTTCTCCCTCTCTCTTTCTCTCTCTCACTTCCTTATGTATTTCTTTAGAAATTTGTTCTCTCTCTCCTCTTTTTTTTCTCTTTCTTTCTCTTTTTTATTTACTTCTTCAGAAATTTGTTTTGAAAAAATTCTCTCTTTTCCTTATTTTCCACCCTTTTTCTACTTTTTTAGGTTGCTTTTGAAAGCCCATTTTTTTATTTTTTCTCTTTTTTATTCTTTTTCTTAATTCAAATCCGTCTTCATTCTTCTGCTTTTCTTCTCATCCATCCCTCTCCCTTCTTCATTCTATCATTTCTTTACCACTAAATCTCTTTCATGATTCATTTTATTTTTCATTGTTTCATTCAATGTCTATCTCTTCTCTCTCTCTCTCTCTCTCTCTCTCTCTCCCTGTCTCTCTCTCGTTCTCTTTTTCATTATTTTCAACAAAACTTCTTTTAAGAACTGACACGGTCTCTTGAGCTTTTGTTAAATTTGTTCATACATAATTGGTAACACCACTGTAATTGTCACCATCATCATCGTCATCATCATTATCGTCACCATCACCATCATCGTCGTCATCATCACTACAACTCACTTTCGAACATATCTATAGACAATATTTCTTCATCTTCTTCTTCATCCTCATCGTCATTATCATCATCGTCGTCGTCGTCATGATGATGATCCCGATGTTGACGACGGTGATTATGATGATTATGATGATGATGATGATGATCATCATCATCATCAACTCGTCCAAATACTGTTTCACCGCTACTGCAGTTGATTTTTCGAAGTTGCTTTTTCAAGTCTATGCGGTAGGTCTCAGGCTTAATGGCTTGATCTTTGTACTTTATTATCTTTTTGGCGGGAAAATAATATCGGCGGTTGTGATAATGATGATTTTAGTGGTGATTCATAACGATGATGATGATGGTGGTGATGATGACGATGAAAAGATGATGACGACGACGATGACAATTACGATGATGTTGATGATGATGATGATGAAATAGATGTTGATGATGATGATGAAAGAAAACACGGTGATGAAAATTATTGCACTGTGAGATGCTTCTGACCAGCAGAGTCGCATCAATCATAATCGCAACCACCAAACTCCACAAACTATAACATCATTATCAGCATCAGCAACAACATCACCATCATCATTATCATCATCCTCTTCATCATCACCATCATCGTCATCATCATCCTCTTCATCATCACCATCCTCGTCTTCATCGTCATCCTCAACAACAAACAACAACATTATGAAGAAAAACCGTACAGCAGAAACAACTACACACATAAACAACGACAACATTAACAAATTCACAACTGATCATCATCAACGTCATCTCCATCATCGTCGTCATCATCATCGTCATCGTTATCATAACTAACCCAGCAAGATTTTTTGCCCTCGTACGCTGAGTAAGACACCAATATTTTGACGTACGAAGATTGCGTAATGTAATGCGTGCAATCGTAAACTGTACAATCATAATAAAATAATTATAAATATAGTTATAATTATTATTTTTATTATTATATATCAATTATTATTACTAATCGTTGTATTAATGTTTAATAGCATCAATAAAGTATATGACTAAATTATTCGTTTGTTTTGTTCTAATCAATTTCTCTTTCGTTGTTTGTACTTGATGGTTTGCTTGTTTGTGTGTTTGTGTCTGTATGGTATGTATGTATTTCTGTATGTGTGTGGGTGTGTATGTTTGTGTTTGTGTGTATTTAGGTATGTTTGTATGTGTGTTTGTATGACCTTGTAATTTAGACATGTATGTTTGAGTTTGTATATTTGTGTATGTATTGTAAGTTGTGTATTTAGGTATGTGTGTATGCGTGTGTATATGTGTATGTGTACGTATGTGCGTGTGTGTATATTTGTATGTGTGTGTATATGTGTACGTATATGGGTGTATGAGTGTGTGTGTATATGTGTGTGCGTACGTATGTATGTGTGTATGAGTGTGTATATGTGTATGTGTGCGTATGTATGTGTGTATGCGTGTGTGTGTACGTGTGTATATGTGTGTGTGTGTATTTTTGTATTAATCGCTGAAGCACTCATCCTTAATTAAATTTATTCAAACCGCCAACGAACCCGATCAATCAAGTAAAATAATGTTTAAAGAATATTTTTTTCATTGTAAAAAACATTTTTAAAATAAAATATTGAAACTAATTTGAAAAACAAGCGAAAATACGAAAGAAGGTTTTTCATGTAAAAATACATCTTAAGTGTATTTGAATGTGTGTGTGTGTGTGTGTGTGTGGTGTGTATGTGTGTGCTAAAAATAACATTGATTAAACATAACATAATCTATGCAAATCCTTTACCTTAAACAAATAACCATCTCCTGCTAATGCAACAAAAAATTACAAATACTCTATGGCCATTATAAACAAACTTAATTAACTAGAGATAAACAAAGACAGATGAGAAGAAAATCACAGAACAGCAAAATGCCAATTTGACAAACCCGTACACTGTTAAATGCTTATGTTAAATATGAATCACCAACAACAATTACAACGACAACCGGGCCAAAAAAAAACTCAAACCGGTTTCCAACCAACCGAAACTTCTGGGGATCCCAGCCGGACATCCGAAGTCCACTTGAAATCTCAACTGCGTGTCCCCTTGGCACGTGACCTCATCGAGGTCACTCATCACCCCCGTGCACACGTGACCGGAAGATGTTGTGATGATGACGTCAGATTTCTGATCGAAGGCGCATTTTGTTCTTTTTTTCGGTATTCTATCTAATTAGGTAGATCAGTAGGGTAGGTAGTGATGACGATGATAATGATGATGATGATAATGATGATGATGGTGGTGGTGGTAATGATGATAGAAAATTATTATTTTATAAAATGTTATTTTCGTTATTTAAGCATCGGAGCTAACCTAACTGAGAACGCCTCTTTAATGTTTTGTAGTTGTGGATGTGTTTCGTGTGTCGCTTGTTGTTGCAGTAGTTGAAGTTGTTTCTGATGTTATTGTTGTTGTTGATGTTTTTATTGTTGATGTTGTTGTTGTTGTAGTTGTTATTGATGTGATTGTTGTTGTTGATGTAGTTGTTGTTGTTGTTTTCACTGTACAATTGACAGCCGTCTGGTAAAAATGTTAATTACAAATGTTTCAGCTCTAAAAAAAGACACTTTTTTAGCTTTCAAGTTTTAAAAACAGTTACATCAACTGAAACATTAATGATGATATCAAAAACATCACCATCATCTCCATCGCCATCATCATCGCCATCATCATCATCATCGCCATCATCGTCATCATCATCATCAGCTGCAGTAGTTGCAGTAGCTGCAGTAGCATCACAGTACTAACATAACTTATAGCGCATAACATTCTTGACAACTCTGAGGTAGGCGCAACATTGTCTTGGTTTGCTGTTTAACATTTAACGTCGTCGTCATCATCATCGTCATCATCATCAATATCATCATCATCATCATCATCATCATCATCATCATCATCAACGACAACTCTAACCATCCATTATTCAATTTGACTATTACGTCATAAAAACCGCTTCCGCCATTCTGTCTACTCAGACAGACCAAAGATCCTAAACGCGCAACTCTGATTACGTCATCGGTCACGTGAATTTCAGTGACGTAGGCATTGTTGTTGTTATTTTTGTCATTATTATGGTTATTATTATTATAATTATTTATTTGGGCCCAAACTCCGTGTAGGCGTGATGAGAAATGGCATTTGCTGTCTCTGTTTGTACCGTCTGCTGGTGCTGATGATGATTACGATGATGATGACTGTGATGATGATGGTGATGGTGATGATGACGACGACGATGATGGTTATGACTATTGAACAATAGAATAAAATGTGAATGAATAAAAAGTTTGAAAAATTTTAAAAACCAAACATCCATAAAATTGAAACGAAGAAAAACTAAAAAATACAAAAAAAACACCAAAAAAAAACAAAAAACTACAAAAAAATACCAAAAAATACCAAAAAAAACACCAAAAAATTGAACCATAAAAATAATTCAACCAAAAAATGGCGCCAAAAACGAAATTAATAACCGCGCGAACGAAATGCATACCACACAGACTGCATGAGTATCTGCACAAATCTTTGACATTTACAGAATCATCATCAGCACCGCCACCGCCGCCACCATCATTATCATTACCCTTCTTCAACTTATTATTGTTGTTATTATGAACATGATTGACATTATTTTCGTTGTTGTCATTGTTGTTGTAGTCATCGTTGTTGTTGTTGTTGTTAATGTAACTAGAGTTGACAAAGTTAGCGTTATTATAATTATTATTATTATGATTATGATTATTATTGTTATTGTTATTATTATTATTATGATTATGATTATTATTGTTATTATTATTATTATTATTATTATTATTATTATTGTCAACGTCATAGTCGTCGTCGTCGTCGTCGTCATCCTTGTTGCTGCTGTAGTAGCGGCTGTAGCAACCTCTTTCAGCCACAAGCGACGAACAGTGGCTTGATAGGTCTTGGCATCTGGAATCTGTGTTTATAATTATTGTTAATTATAACTATAATAATTTTATGTTTATAATTATTGCTAATTATAACTATAATAATTTTATGTTTATAATTATTGTTAATTATAACTATAATAATTTTATGTTTATAATTATTGTTAATTATAACTATAATAATTTTATGTTTATAATTATTGCTAATTATAACTATAATAATTTTATGTTTATAATTATTGTTAATTATAACTATAATAATTTTATGTTTATAATTATTGTTAATTATAACTATAATAATTTTATGTTTATAATTATTGTTAATTATAACTATAATAATTTTATGTTTATAATTATTGTTAATTATAACTATAATAATTTTATGTTTATAATTATTGTTAATTATAACTATAATAATTTTATGTTTATAATTATAAATAGTAGGTGTAATATTATTTGCCACAAGCATAAATATTAATACTAATACCAGTACATAGATTAGATACCTAATGCAGGTGTTATGGTCACATACGTAATAATAATAATAATAATAATAATAATAATAAAAATAATAATAATAATAGTTAAAATAATAATAATAATAATAATAATAATAGTTATAATATTATTAATAATTATAATAATAATAATAACAATAATAATAATAGTTATGATATTAATAATAATAATAATAACAATTATGATGATGATGATGAAAATAATAATAATAATAATGCCAGAATAAGTGCTAAAAAAGATACAAATTAAGTATGTATACAAATTATATTATGTATACAAGAACATTGTTTATGTTTAAGAAATACATGTATATATTTGTTTCTTTGTTTGTTTGTATATGTGATTTTGTATGTGAGTGTATATATGTGAATGTGTGTTTGATATGTACATATGTAGAAATGTATGTGTGTGAATGTATAAAATTATGTGTGTATATATGTATGTGTATATATGAGTGTATATACGGATATATAGCAGTGTATGTGAGTGTATGTATGTGTGTGTGTGTGTGTGTGTATGTGTGTGTGTGTGTGTGTGTGTGTGTGTGTGTGGGTGGGTGGGTGTGCGCGTGCGTGTGTGTATGAAGAAGTGTATTCTATGTTTTGACCTTGAATGAATGGATCAATGTAAGTTATTAAGCGAGTGGTGTGTCCAAGCATTGTAAACAATATTTCATCGAGGCGGCTGTGTGTGTGTGTGTGTGTGTGTGTGTGTGTGTGTGTGTGTGTGTGTGTGCATATGTGTGGAATGTTTGATATCGATGTGTGTGTATGCGTGTGTGTGTGTTTTTTTTCAGGTACGTGTGTATGTAATAGAAAATTAGTATTGGCTGTGAATGTGAATATTGCCATTATGTTCAACTTTCTATTTGTTTGTATGATTGTATCTATTTGTATGTTTGTATCTATTTATATGTTTGTATGTATATATCTTTTCGTACATTTGCATCTATTTGTATGTGTGTATGCATGTAAACATTTTTTTATTCATATGTTTGTTTTTATGTACATACATGTTTGTATGTATGCAATTAATTTAAGTTATAGTACTAAATATATGCGTGTATAATTGTATTGTTTGGAATACACAAGACAACAAAAACATCTCATTTGTATATAATTCAATCTGGTATTTGTATCGGGTATCGTCAGTTAATGAATGTCTGTGTGCTATTACGTATTTTATTTCTTCTAAATCATTTTATTGCGTGTTCAGTTGCGCATGTCATATAGGACACACACCAACACACACGCACACCAACACACACACGCACACAATCACATCAACACACACACGCACAAATACACACACAAACACACAACAACACACACATACAAACACACACATACAAACACACAAACACTCAACAACACACAACACAAACATACATTTAGATACAAACACACACATACACACACACACACGCACACATACACGAACACTTGGGAGCATACTATAAAATAATTGTTTAATTAATTATACGACTCGCATCAAAACATTATCTGCATCGTGAATACCGTTTTCCAGTTCGAATAATAATCGCTACTACTACTACTACTACTACTACAACTACAACTACTACTACTACCACAAATACCACTGATGTTTTTACTACCACTACTACAATTACTGCTTTTGATGCAGCTACTACTACTGCTGCTGCAACTACACAAATAGTCTTTCTATACTTTCTATAATATAGCAATCGCTACTACAACTACTACCACCACTAATACTTTTACTACTACTACTTCTACCACCACCACTACTACTACTACTGTAACCATCACTACTGCAACTACAATCACAACCTGATGGTATGGTGGCTAATAATAAAACGCAGTTTTAATACCGCATCCGTTGTTAGCTGAAGACGTATATGGCGCTATTTATAATGCTCTTTGTTCAACGCCCGGTACATAGGTACGCAAACGCAGCTCTTCTTAACTAGCACGCACACACACCTCTCTGTACAAATACCGACATATAAATACACGTACAGAACAAATACCGACATATAAATACACGTATGTAGCACATACACACATAAAAACACACATATACACCACATACAAATACGAATACCTTTATACGAATAAACAAAATATATCTACATATTGTAAAAATTCTACCAAATTGTTGGCATTAGCCAGTTTAAAGCTTGACGTTTCAATTTTTCTTACTAGAATTTTGTAGTATACATCCATATACAAACAAATACACACATTTATACAAATACCTACAAACATATACAAAAACACATATAGTTTTTATTACATATGAGAGAAATGTGCGTACATACATATACAAACGGTTTTGTTGTATATGAATGTACCTGTGTGTATGTATGTCTGTCAATTTGTCTATGTATCTATGTCTCTCTCTCTTTCTTTCTCTCTCTCTCTTTCTCTCTCTCTCTCTCTGTGTGTATGTGTGTATACGTATAACTTATTTTTGTTTGTTCTTTGGTGCCTAAATTGTATCTAATCCTTCCCGCTTAAATCCTGTACTACAAGCCATGTAATTATATCTGTTGCTGTTGATGTTGTTGATGTTGTTGTTGTTGTTGCTGCTGCTGTTGTTGTTATTGTTGATGTAATTTTGTTGTCGTTGATGTTCGTGACGTTATTTTGCTGTTGACGTCAGTTGTCGTAGTTCAAACAGGCAAGAATTGAATCTAAAAGGTTTTTTAATTAAAACCATAAAAATAACATTCGCAATATAATTCATTATTTTTACTTAAACAATGTTAAATGAAATACTACGATGACGTCATCAGCACGCACACTTTTATAGCGCATAATTTATTCGAGAAAAAAACACTGAAGAAGAAAGTTTTTGTTTAATAAAATTTGAGCGAAACATAAGAACATAAGTAGGATGTCATTTTTAAAAAAATAATAAAATTATTATTATTATTATTTTAATGATAATAATAAAATAAATAAATAATAATAGGTAAAAAATGTGAAAAAGTATCTTAGGAGAACGAATGATGCTAATGGATTCTTAAGAAGAAAATAACATGGTGTGTTAGCAGTAATTCGGTCGCGGTTGATGAAGATGATGATGACGATACGAATATAATAATAAAAATAATAATATTGACAAGAATAATATTGAGAAAATAATGACTATATAATTGTAATAATAATAAAAATGATGGTGGAAATTTATTTAAGAATGAATTTAGGTACAGAAGTTGTCAGCGAATATTCAGACAGAAACGGATTACTGGCTATATATGATTTATAATACGGTGATAATGAGTCTTCCAGAACAACAACAATAATAATAATAACAACAACAACAATAATAATAATAATTATTATTATAGTCATAATAATAATAATATCAATGATAACGATCATGATGATGTGAATGATTTTAATAAAAATTACAAAAATATGGAAAAGATTGCAAAAATCTCGACCAAAAACTATAAATAACTTCATTTCAACTTTGATCACCATTTTCGCAATAATCTTCATCCGCGCGG